ACATATTGTTTTTGTGTATTTAGTTGTGTTGTAGTATTGTGTTTATGTTTATTGTTTGTTTTTATACACCTACTTTGCTCAATACAATTACTAGCATATGGAACAATTCTCTGTGATTTTAAAAGATCTCGCGACGTACAAAAAACGCAAACAAAAATGTTTAAGTCTTCATTCGACTCGAAGTTAAACAAATAGTTGACTTACAAAACACAACAAAAATGTCCAAGTTTTATAACGGTTGTGATTGTTTTGAAACGCTAAATATGCGGAGCTGACTTTGACCTTGACCTACTGGGGGCCTTAAGCGCCCCCATACCCCTCGCCCTTTAGTTTGTGGTTCCACTTCATTAGAAGGTAGCTACGCCCCTATCGGGGCGGATGAGTGGCGGGCGGGGCGGCAGCGGGCGGGCACCCCATAATTATAAGACTCTTATAATAGTTCATGTTAATATATTTGTTTTCAGTTTTGACGTTAAATGAAGTATTTACAATGGGTATAAAACTTTTGATGCCTTATAAAGTATGTAAAATTAAGGCGTTTCTAGAAATATAGTTTATAACCAATTCATTGATAGAAGAAAAGATTTTTGACCCGACTTACTCCAGTCTACAAAAGTTAAATGATCAAGCCATGCACCACATATGCGCTAATTTGTATTACATTTGCGGGAAATAAAAGAATGTTACATTTACGCGAGAAATTTCTTTACGTTTGCGTAGATTTAAACATAGTAATTTACAGGTAAATATGACAGTTACAAACTGTTTCCTTCCTGCCAAGGATTCGTCAGGTGGCTTTATATTTCAGTAGTCCCAGACATAAAGGTGGTAGAATGTTCATCAGTTCTAAGTTGCGCCTTATACGACTTCTTCCCTTTATTTCTGAGCGATATTTCTAGTTCTGGTTCTATCATAAACGTACTTATGGTCCAAATGACACCAGCAAACTAAATGGATATTTGCCAAGCAAAGTATATAATATGACTTTTATAAAGTTGCTTACATCCACTTTATTTGAACTTTGGTGGATAGTTGTCTCATTGGCAATGTTACTTCATCTCCTTATTTATATATTAGTTCTGGATATACAGGTAGATATATATAATAGGTTAAAATCGTGAAAATATAATTTTTTTTTCACGCGAAAGTAATGTCCGTTCATCCAAGAATCCGCGCACATGTAATACGCCCTACAACACGGAAAGAAGGAAACAAGGTCATGTCGCATGAAGAACTAAATAACGATTTTAAGTTTTTTTTTAATTATGATTAAATTTTAAAAATTTATTTAAAAGAGAGGCGAAATATACCAAACTGACATTTAAACTCATAAGTCGAAAATAAACGATTAGAATACTGTGGTTTCATTTTTTTCCCCATTAATTTCTGGAAGTATAGTATTTCAATTAATTTCTATATACATTAAATTATCTTAATAGTCACCTTACAGTTATTTCTCCAGTCATGACATATTTTAACAAAAAATTAGGTCACTGACATACATTTTTTTATTATTAAATTCTGTATTGAATTTTATAGAGATATCATAAATCATAAATACAAGTTTGGAATCCTCAGTTTTTTATTCTTCAATATTTATTATACCCTTTTTGACAAGTTCATATCTTCATCCGTCAAACGGTTCATCCGTAGAACGGTACATAAGTTCAAAGATTGTTTTTTATTTACAGGTATATATTAACTTAAAAATGTATTACTTATTTCATTTCTAATTTAACTTTGAAGTTCCTAACAATATTATTTAAATAGACAGTTGATACCCTTTTAAATTCCGTCTTGCCATTCTAGATGGATTGCGAACATAATTTTTAAGATCTATTGTCACATATTATCCACTTTTTGATAACAATTGTATGTATTTAGTCTGTTTGGTTTTCAAGTGTAATGCCCTTACTGTCAGGTGCATACATTTTTTTTTTTTTTTTTTTTTTATTTTGCAATAATTATTGATTTGTCCTCTGAGAAATCGGGCCGAATTGTGACTGATCGCTTCGGAGCTTTTTCTGACTGCGGTGTAGACCTAAATACATGTATTATTCCATTAGGTCATTTTTTAGTAACAACAGACAAAAGAACTATGTCAATTGGGCCTGCTTTGATACGATAACTGCCCTTGAATTTTTACTAGATAACATTTTTGTTCGCTATGGAGATTTCGTATATCGTCAAGTTATCGGAATTCCAATGGAGACTAACTGTGCACCACTTATTGCGGACCTGCTTCTGTATTGTTATGAGTTACAATTTATGACTAAAATCAGCAAAGACCCATCGGAACAACATCTGATACAAAAATTTAATAACACTTTTAGATATTTGCATGAAATATTGGCTCTCAATAATGACGACTTCATTATCTACACTAAAGAGATTTATCCTGCTGAACTGACTTTAAATAAAGTTAATACTAACAATGAACACTGCCCTATCCTGGATCTTGATATCTATATCTTTTATGGGAAGCTTAATACCAAAATTTATGATTTTTAGATGGTGATGTTCCTTTGTCACCATCTTATGATGTTTATATATCTCAATTTGTTCGATTCACTTGCGTATGAAACAACGTATTTGATTTTAACGAAAGAAACCTCTGTATTACTGAAAAATTATTACACCAGGGCTCTGAATATCACAAACTAGTCAAAACATTTACTAAATTTTATCATCGTTATAAGGACATCATTCGTAAATATAAAACAACATGCAGACATCTAATACGTTCAGGTATTTCACATCCAATCTTTTATTGTAATATTCGATACAAAGCACAAAAATGTCGACATTCACCTCAAAAGCTAACCAAACCTTTAAACAGACTTATACAGAAAAGATATAGTTACGATACTATTGTCAGGTCATTAAAGATGGCATATTTTGGTATTTATATTGATTCACTCAGGGTCTTTGCATCGGAAATAAACACATTTATTCTAAAACCAGTTGTTGGCATGATACGGGTTATGTTCTTCTCATATATTTTATGATGGTATGATACTAAACCCCTAACGGGAGGGATTGTGCTTGATTGAAGACATAATCTTTCAATCAGTTTAATAGTAGTCCTTTGTTAATTTATGTATCATTGTCATTTTGCTTAGTTTCTTCTTTTACCTATTCTGACATCGGACTCGGACTTCTTTTAAACTGAGTTTTACTGTGCGTATTGCTATGTGTTTGTTTATTCTACGTTGTCTAGAGGTATAGGGGGAGGGTTGAGATCTCACAAAACATGTTTAACCCCGCCGCATTTTTGCGGCTGTCCCAAGTCAGGAGCCTCTTGCCTTTGTTAGTCTTGTATGTTTTTTTAATTTTAGTTCATTTATATGTTTTGGAGTTTAGTGTGATGTCTACTTTCATTGAACTAGTACACATTTTTGTTTAGGGGCCAGTTGAAGCCCGCCTCCGGGTGCGAGATTTTCTCGCTGTGTTGAAGACCCATTGGTGCCTTCGGCTGTTTTCTACTCTTTGGTCGGGTTGTTGTCTTTTTGACACATTCCCCATTTCCATTCTCAATTTTATTATTGGACATATTGTAGTCGTTTACGTTAAGACCCCTCTTAAAATGCAATAATTCAAGCTTGTAACATTTAATTTACCAATCAGAATATGGAAAAAAGCAAGCCATACAAAAAAAGCGAACAGAAAACATGCTAATTTGGCCGCAAAAAAGAAAGCTTTTATAGCGACAGCATGCCTTAAGGAATTAGATTATTTAAATTCCAAAACGTGTTAGATTTTCTTAAAGCTTTTGCCATTACCAACAGACCATTGATACCTCAAGCAATTTATTTTTGTTTGATTTTACCAGGATATTGAACAAATGTTTAACCCCGCCACATTCTATATGTGTCTGTCCTAAGTCAGGAACCTGTAACTTGGTGGTTGTAGTTAGTTGCTCGTTATCATAATTGTTTTTCGTTGTTTTGTAGTGTTATCTTGTGTTGTTCTGTTGCACCACTGTCCCAAGTTAAGAGGAGGTTTGGGCGCCTGCAAACATGTTTATTGTTTTGTACATAAATCAAGCCGTTAATTTTCACGTTTAAATTGTTTTTCATTTGTCATTTCGGGGTCTTTTAAAGCTTGCTGTGCGGTATCATTTGTGCTTATTGTTGAAGGCCATAAAATGGCGAATAGTTGCTCACTTCTACGTCATTAGGTTTCTGGTGGAGAGTTGCCTCATTTTTCAAAACAGAATTAACGATAGCGTACCTTAAATTACGTAATGAATCGAGTAATTTTATGGAATCCAGGACCGTTAGTATTTAAACCAAACTTATTGACAGCCTTGTCAAGAGTTTTTCTCTTCAATAAACATATACCGATTTCATTAAACACGACCTTCAAATCATTAAAAAATTTAATATAATTAACCAAGGCGCATGGAAAAACTATACTCTGGGACTGTCAATCCATTAGCAGCGAAACCAACACAGTGGCATAAACAGATTACTGCTGGCGATGGCCATCGCGCACTAAACATTTTTAATAGCCAACCTCTGATACACTCTAGAAAAGTTAAGGAAGCCTTTAAGTTATAAATAAAACGTTCAAAGCAAAAGGATTCGTCAACCACACAGAATAGTCAAATAGTACATGCTTGTTAATTTATGTCCTTTTTGGTCATGAATGTCATCACATATTCAAGTATTTCTACATCACATTCATAGTGTAGTGTTCACTAAGATAAGCATATTCATGATGGTCACCAAATAATTTGTCGATCGATCTCATAACTTTGTTGCTGCTATTTAGTCAAAGAGTAAACCTCTATGAACGCCTCAGTGATCTCGTAATACCGTGCTCGACTTTAGAGAACTGCCGGGTCAAACCAAAGACTCCTTATTATATGAAAGGAGATAAGTAAATGCCGGACTGCAGCAGATGGTATGTAACCATTTCTCAAGAATGTCAACTAAGCATCAGGAAAACTGAAATCATTGAGATGTCTAGGTTTTCAACATCAACTTAAAATAAAAGTTGTTTCACAATGTAATTAATTCAAAGTGTGTACAGTACATATAAAAGTTCTAATAACAAATTGATACATGCATTTATAATTCAGTATTTATTAAAGAAAATGTGGGATAAAAGTTAATGAGACAGCAACCCAACGAAACATAAAATCACAAAATATATAATCAGACATCGGTCTTAAACTCTTAAAAAATTATTTATAGACAAGTGCACGTTTATGCATTATTTCATAGCTTCTATGCTTTAAACCGACCCGAGTCGAGACAAATCTGAATACTAGTAATTATAACAGAAGGTATGAAAAAAGCCGTCAACAGATATAAAAAAAATCCCCTATGAACGAGATGTCTTACTTCGGTCAGACATACGGACATGTGACGGAGTTAAAATAATGTTTCAGTGTTCAATCTAACCTGTTTCAATCTTATTCAATGGAATACAAAATGTGAACATATAAGAACGTTTAATAAAATTCAATACCGTGCAATTTGTGCATTAAGTCTATTTTCATGCTCTGAATAAAGCTGACCATGTATTAAAAAAGCTTGGATATTAAAGGACTTTGATGGCACATTTAGACATTAACTACTAAATCTAATTATGAAAGAATAAGTAACTGTTCACTCAAATACATGAAAAGTTGTTGAACATGGATCTCTTATAAAATAATAATGAAAACAAATGTACTTTTAAATAAAGAAAAATGACGAACATCGTCTATAACTCGTCGCGTTCATGTTTTTCGTATGCTAACGGAGGAAATATTTCGTTCAAAAATTTAAACATGTCCGGCTTCAATGACTTCTTCATTGTGGTAGGTACATCGAGATCAATATAGCTTCTGTCCTGAAGGTCAAATTCTTTCCACTGAACTGACTCTTCACCAGCGTCTGGGCGTCTGAAAAAAGTATGTATAAAAATGATTAACATTTGTTTTTCTATAATATAATGTAGTCGCCTGGGTTTTTTTCTATTAAAAAAATGCACCATGGAATTGATATTGTTTGACTGTTTTAATAAATTTTGTTTTAAAAAAATTCAAAGGACATGAGAGTGACGTGCGTATCCTTTCTATAGTTTATCTGATATTGCGATTTTGTTAGATCTCGTATTGCAAAAAGCTTTAGTCATGTGAGTTGTCTGCCTTCCCTTTATTGTGTCCCTATTTGTATGTTGTAAATCGCATTCTAACATCTTATTCCTCTTGTTTTTTTGCATTTTTTTATGTTTTTACTTTATATTTGACTGATTCAGAATTTAAAGCTCACCATGACACTGTGTAATACAAATTATGCGGAAGATTCATTGACTTCCTTTTACTCGTTTGTATGGTGTGTAAATGTAAGATTTTGTATATTAGTAATCAATTTCAATCAAATGAATTTATTTTTTTTAATTTCAATATTGTCTCAATATTTTCTTTTTACATTCTCAATTTAGTGTCGCATTCCAATTTCAATTTACATGAATTGTTAGTTGAAACAAACTAGTAATGGAAAATAAAGGACATGGTGTATTAATTCATATCACAAAATCTATAGACGCACTTGAAAAATAAGAAACAAAACAAAACAGTGCTATAATAGCTGTTCATTTATAAAAAAAAGGTCACAGTGAGACCTTCAACATGGAGCAAAAACGCTCACCTCACTGCTAGATCAAGAAGGCCCCTGGCATCCGTTTGAGTGGAATTCTTCATAGATGTGGAGCACGCTTCATATGTGCATTGAAGAACACATTGTAAGGTTTCTTAATTGTTTTCTTAAAATTGTAAACATTTTTTTTTTATATTTATATGAAAACACCATTATATATTATAATAGTTCTTTTGTTACCTCGTGAGTTTAACTGTCTGTGTCAAAAGATGGTTAAACAGTAAACAAAACTTGAAAACACTTCAACTTGTTTTAGCTACAGTCTATGACTGCGTTGGTTATCTCCGTTTTTTTATGATTCTTCGACCTCTTAGTCCACAATAAAATAAAATCATACCCTCAGTAGTTGTTTTTTTTTCCTTATTTTTCCACAGATATTTCAAATGGAGAAACATGTCTATTGTTGAAGGTAGTATGTTGACCGCCATATGTCATCATGTTTAGTTGTGTTGTTCTGTTACTGTCATATTGACAAATATCCATTATATCCTTTAAATGTATTTATAGCTGTTTACCCTTCGTTTTGTTAATTTCGAATTCTTACTTACCCAGTTTTTGCAAAGGAAGTCCAATATTGAACAATATTCTGAGAGAGAGTCTTCTCTCCGTCTGTTAACCCAACATCTAAATGTTTGAAGTGTCGACTAATATCAAACATATACTTTAGCTCTTCGGCATGACCAGCACCACGGAACCATTTTGGTGGAGGACCGCCTATATGCATTGGTTTACTACTTTCTCTAGAAAATTGATATTGGTATGTTGTACCAGTCCCAGCTGCATGGTTTTCCAACATTTTAAGGGTTGGAAAGACGAAACTCAAATCAGCGTAGCAGTGTGTAACTTTTAAGCTCTGGGCATCTTCTGAATGGTCAGTAGTATAAAACTGACATAAAGATTCTTTGAGCTGCTCCTTGTCCGTGTTAAAATTCCTATCAACATAAGAATTCAACATTCCTTGGCAGACAAATTTAGCTGGGATTCCTTCACTCACATTAAACTCGTATCGTTCTTGTAACCCAGGATGAGTTATCATAGGCACCAAATTTCCTTCATTTGATGTAGTTCCAGCCATAAAGTCTAGAGAACGGAAAAATTGTGATACTTCCGATGAACTGTCTTCTAATAGAAAGAGAGGATTTTCCTTAAATAGTTCTCCATCGACAGCTGGTTGATACTCACTGTTAAACTTTGCTACTTCGTTTGACATCGATGCAAAAAAGTTCGTTTCATTAAGAAGCTTTTCAACAGACGTATCCCGAAGACAGTCGGTGAATTTGTACATATCATCAACTGGACAACTAACTTTCTCAGACAAATCTTTGAAAGCATCTCGAATCATTTGCTTACTCAGGACACCTGCTCTTGTAACAACTCCACTTTGTGCTATGACCCTGTGGAAAAGGCCTTTGTTCGATGGAATTAATGACTGGAAGGATACGCTCCAACCTCCAGCTGATTCACCAAAAATTGTAACCGAGTCTGGATTTCCGCCAAAAGATTCAATATTGTCATGAACCCATTCTAATGCAAGTTTTTGGTCCCATATCCCGTAATTACCCATTGCGGCCGGATGATCTAAGGCGAGAAATCCAAATATTCCAAGTCTATAATTAATTGTGACAAGAATTACGTCGCCTTGCATGGAAAGCAAACTTCCATCATATGCATCTCCGTTTCCATTCATAAGTCCACCACCGTGTATCCAAAACATGACAGATAAATTTTTTCCTGGCTTCAATTTTCTAGGAACAAATATATTTAAAAAAAGACAATCTTCTGCCATTTTTTGTGGTTTCAACTCCGCCATTACCTCTGGAACATACTGGGGACATGATGCACCAAATGCAGAAGCATCTAAGATATTTTTCCACGGGTCAACAGGTTCAGGTTTAGTGAATCTTTTTGCACCTGTAGTAGGTTTTGCATATGGAATTCCACGAAATTCGTATAAGTTTTCTCCTGTTTGCTCGTATTTCCACACTGTGCCTTTGATTGGTCCTAATTTTGTATCAACTACAATGTTATCTTTTTCGTCTGTTGTCGATCCAATCGTGAACAAACCAATAACCAAGAGCGTTTTCAATGTTCTTTCAGCCATCTTAAAAACCTTGCCTGTAAAATAAATTAAAATGTGTATATCTGACCATCTAACAAATTACTACTTGTGCAACATTTACATAAGAATATTAGAATATTAAGTTTCTCCTTTTCTTCCTTCTTCCTCTCAACTTTTTTCTCTTTCCTCTTTTCCTCTTTTATCTTGATAACTCCCGTTTCTTCAACTAATCCCTTCTTGTTAATCTTATTTTTTTCTTTCTTCCTCCTCCTCTTCCCTTTTTCTAGCCTTTCTTCCCTTTTACTTCATTTTCAACCACCATTTTCCTTTATAAAATTAAGTCAATTATGCGGTACGTACATCGAGAAAAAATGTAGATTACCATTCAGATGAAGAAATAAAAAGATATAAGGAAGAAAAGAACAAACTTATAAAAACAATTCAAAGTAATGCTGCTCTTGCTCTGGTACTCCTACCTGGTCGTTTGACTTCACGTCAAGTTCAGAGATATTTAAGACTGTGCATATTCTATCAAAAGTATTGCTTTTATACATGTAAGAACTGGTGATTTTTTAACCTTTGCAAAAAAAGAGTTACCGTAAGAGGAAACCCAGCTAGTTACGATTTCACAATAAGAAATGCTATATGTTATACTGTATTCACAAATTACGAGTTGTCAAATATTATCAACGTTTGTATAGGTTTTGGTTTTTCAAATATTTTGGCCTCGAGCTTTACTGAAGAGACATTATTGTCGATATGTGCATCTGGTGCAGTAAAATTGGTACCGTTAATGTTATTATAACTAATTATGAATAAGTGTGGTTAATTTGCTTAGGTTGAGAGAAAACAGTATGTATAAATGAAATACATGTATCTAAATCGTCTCGTTAATTAAATATTTCTATGCGGAGTCAAATTTCATGAATATAAAATGTAATTTCAGTTTAAAAGGTGAATAGATTTGTAAAATATTTAATTAAGATGCGGTTATCTTAAATTATCGTTAAAATACCTTACAGGAACTAAAATAAAATGGAGTAGCGTTATTTTCGATTTTTTTTTTATTTCAAGAATTTTTTTTTTTTATTGTGCAGTGACAAATTTAGGGGGGAAAATTCGAGACTAATGGACTGTCATACCTATAAATAATATTTAAGCTCAAACAACACTTTCTTATTATCCTTTTGTCCGTGCGTAAAGTATTACTTTAGTGCAGTTCGTGGAACAATGTGTGGAAAGTGACAATATTAAAATCATATTATCCTTCAAATTCAACCAAGTCCTTGATGCACTTTTTTACATTTATTACGAATCCATTAAGATGACCGATCGTGAACTTGATAAACAATGATCATGGAGCACGTGAAAAATAAAAGACTTGATAGAGCGATCTTAATTTATATATTTTATATTGTCTATGCGTTTACATTTTGTTAATTGAACTTTGTTTAACAGTTGATAAATTATTTGGTGTATTAATTTTTCAGAAACAATCAACACTATCTACCTCGAGCTCCTAGGGCACGTTTGTTTACCTTTTCTTTCATCACGTTTTCTCTCCCACTTGCGCTCTTCGGTTGCCGAAATTCTAACGAGAGGTCTCAATGTCTGAAGACTTTGATAAGATAAAGGATTTTTTTTTTTTACACTCAAGTCCATGTATGCATGTTTTATGGTAAAACTAAGCCATTCAAGTATATAAAACATATTAAACTTCTTTTTTTTTAAATTGAAGAATCATATTACTTTAAACCCATCAAGCATATTATTCCATAAGTACACTTACACACTAAAAGGATATGTTTATTAATAGGAAACATTATTTTGTTCAATATATTCAAGTAATTGTCTAGAATACAGAGGGTAATAACATGTTTCTATATTATTATCTAATACTGCCAAATTTACTCCATACTTCTTTACTGTGAATCATCTGAAATATTTCATCAATTACTTAAATTTCATTTTTCAAGGGGATGATTAGTTTCAAATCCAAACATCAGCATATGATATATAATTCATATTTAGTATTAAAGCCATATAACACTTTCCCCTCTCCCCAAATAGCAAGTACTCCCCGAAACTGTGAATTTTCGGGCAGCAGCTATGTCATCTTGCAAGATATAAAAAAAAAATCTGCTGATTAATCACGAACAACGCGCTACTTACACACAAAATGTACAAGTATATGTAAGATCAACTGTGTATTTGAATATAGATTAAAAAGTAGGAAAATGGCCTTCTTAATACTGTTCCGTCAGAAAAACAGGGACTAATAATAAACTTTCTGTGATGAATTTGTAGTTTATATATGTAACAAAGCCAGGTTCATATTCTTAAAAGTTGAAAGTCAGGGATGTATAAATATTTCAAGATCTTTACGACCAAAAGGGACCTAAAAACAGCCAAAATCATTCGAGGTCAACTTAACCTGAGGGATTAAAACCTTTAATTTAGGTTCTTAATAACATTTGTTAATCTATTTATGGAAAAGTCATTAGCTTTTTCTCGATTTTGATATATTTAGGTCAACGGTAGAATGACGTTACATGAAAATGAATTGACTTTTAGTACTCGAATTCTCCAGATCAATTTATGAGCATTTCGTTACTGGGTAACTTTATTCTGAATATATGATCAACTTATAACATGTAAGGATATTCTTAAAGCAGAACTTTCATTTTCTCTCTAAATTATAAAAATCGATAGAAACTGGGAATTTTGAATTACATTAAATGACGTCATTTATTTTGATGTCATAAAAGGAGAAACTACTTACTAGTATGTCACATAGAAACTATCTTTTTATGCCCCACCTAGGGGCATTATGTTTTTCGGTTTGTGCGTCCGTTCGTTTGTTCGTCCGTTCGTTCGTCCGTTCGTCCGTCCGTCTGTCCCCCTTCAGGTTAAATTTTTCGGTCAAGGTAGTTTTTGCTGTTCGGTGTGAGCCAAGGCTCCGTGTTGAAGGCCGTACTTTGACCTATAATGGTTTACTTTTACAAATTGTGACTTGGATGGAGAGTTGTCTCATTGGCACTCATACCACATCTTCTTATATCTATTTGATGAAGTTGAAGTCCAATCAACTTGAAACTTGGTACACATGTTCCCTATGATATGATCTTTCTTATTTTAATGCCAAATTAGAGTTTTGACCCCAATTTCACAGTCCTCTGAACATAGAAAATGATAGTGCACGCTTCAGGTTAAAATTTTTGGTCAAGGTAGTTTTTGATGAAGTTGAAGTCCAATCAACTTGAAACTTAGTACACATGTTACCTATGATATGATCTTTCTAATTTTAATGCCAAATTAGAGTTTTTACCCCAATTGAATGAACATAGCAAATGATAGTGCGAGTGGGGCATCCGTGTACTATGGACACATTCTTGTTTTTTTATATTTCACACAATGTGTTTATCATTTCATTTTTTCTAATCCTTAATACGAAACAAATACAAACATTTTGAAGACTCGGATATCGACTTCCTCATACTAGTATTCAAACGTTCCGTGTCTTCTTTTTTTTTACTATATCACTGACAGAAACATAAACTTAAGAGATTCGTGTAAACAATGATGTATGATTTAGCATGGCGGATTATCAATTAAAATAACAAGTTGAAAATCACCCTTTCCTGAAGTTGCACTATTATTTGTACAATGCATGTTACATCTACGCCATATCTCTTGTAACTACTGTTGTTAATTTTCTCTGTGGTCACGTGGTTACTCGCTTCCAGTGCGAGAGGTTTTGGGTTCGATTCCCCTTCGAGTCAGACCAGTCTTAAAGATGAATATTTCCGGAGCATGGTAAATTAGAACTAAGAGCAAATACTGTTTGGCCAGGAGTCAGAATAACATATCGTATCTTTCTTGTAATAAGCAAGATAAAAAGTTCAAGTGTTGGTCGAGTTTATGTATATTAAATTGTATGTTTTAGTCGGTGATATTCCTGTATTTGCCACTGGACGTTTACATTAATATCAATTAGGCATTATTATTTCAGCTGTCTGTACAAATCAAATATACCCAAATACTTTCAAGCTGTACATAAAAAAAATAAATTGCAGGTAATGATTGAGAGTTTAAATGTACTTTATCACGTGCTAATATTTTCTTTACTGAGAGAAAAGTAAGACGACCATGAGATAATATTTAATATAATATTAAAAATAAATTTATATTTATCAGATTTTCGTTCTGCTTAAAAAATAAGGTGTAGATTTAAAAAATTAATTATCTTTTTATTGGAGTTGGGATTTACTTTTGAAAGTATTTAACAATGACCTTATTACCAGCTTAAAATGTCAGTTATTGACTGAGCTACTGGACACTGAAACGTAAGTTGTGTGAGTTAAATTTTGATATGTTGACCATACTATGATACACAATTTCTATTTACATTTTTTAGGTTGATAATATCTGAATTGAAAGTGAAAGTAATAGGTCTGCGACTTATTTCACAAAAAAATCTTACGTAAGAAGAAAGAATACTCGTAAGTCATGATCATTTCAGTATAAATTGATCGTAAGATTTTTTTGTGAAAACTTGATCGTAAGTTATACTGAAACGATCATGACTTAAGAGTATTTTTTCTCGTAAGTTTTTTTTGTGAAATTGATTGCAGTATTGTTGTAAAGAAATTTCGAATTTTGTATCTATGATCATCTATGATGAGTTTATTGTAACCACTAGGTCGATACCACTGCTGGTGGAGGTTTCCTCTCCGAGGGCATCACCAGCCTAGTAGTCAGCACTTCTGTGTTGACATGAATTATCATCGATATGGTTATAATTATAAATTAACTGTTTACAAAACTTTTTCGAAATACTAAGGATTTTCTGAGCTGTATATGAGAAAACTTTTCGGAATTTTTGGTCTTCAATGCTCTTCAACTTCATACTTTATTAGACCTGTTTAACTGTTTTGATTCGAGCGTCACTGATGAGTCTTTTGTCTAGACGAAATGCGCGTCTGGCGTACAAAATTTTAATCCTGGTATTTATGATGAGTTTATCCCCCCCCCCCCCCCCCCCACCCCGAAAAGAATGTGCCTTCAATTTAACCCCTAATAGACTATTAAATAGGCTTTCAACAGAAAGTATGGCTGTCAGACATAAACCAAATGTTTAATTTAAAAGTATAGTTGCTACCTTAAAAAACTTTTGAATTAAGTGCTCGATTTATATTCAAGTGACACTATTGAAATGAAAAATCTAATCTGACTTTTTTTCAATTCCAAAAATATCTTACCATTAGTTGAATATACCATATTTTATTAATACAATTTCAAGTGTGTATTATATAAAACTGGCATTTTATTAGTCAAATGAACGCATATTTACACTAAAAACAGTCTGAATAATTACAATGTAATGAAAAAAAAAGGAAAGAAACTGCAACGTTATAATCTAAGCATGACGAAATTACATGTTTTTTATGTAAAATTTAATTTAGATAATGTATTCATTCGGTGTCCAGCTAGCTTTCTGGCATTGTTTGTTTTACAAAATGATTAGAAATCCTTTTTCTGTGCTTCTTTTGTTACTTTTAACATGTAATGTATAAAATCTGGTTTATCCAGTAAATCTCAAAACAGTTGGTCTCGCATATTGTTTATTAAGATCAATTTTAAAGATAACTTACGAATAGAAATAAACAAAACTTATTTAAACATAAAAGCTGTCAATTTTATTCAGTGCTGAACATAATTGTTCTTGCCGGAAGAACAATCACGATACAGGAGCGATGCAACCCGTACGCAAAAACGCAGTTGCGTACACATCGAAAATTTGACAAAAATAAAAATATGGTAAATCTAGTAAGAATAAAACTAAAGTAATAAATTAAAAAGTATTATACAAACAGGTTAATAATCACTTTGTAGCTATATTCCGTTCCAGAAACTACTCTTTTCATTCACGGAACCAGCAACGTGATAATGTTGCTTATGTAAACAATATTAAAATGGCTGAGTCCTCTGGGTGTCAGAAAACAATTGTCATGTCATCTATAAGGGTGTGGATGGGGGTTTACAGAATAGTCTCATAGCATATACATGTAGCATATATTAAAGTTATGCTCTACAAAATACTAAGTATGATTTCCTTGTGATTAGTCTTTATATAGCATAATGCATGACATTTGCAGAAATTAGGTTATACATAGGATTACACTTAAATTTGCGGTTGACCAAAAACAAGGTCTCAAAATATAAAAAAAAACAATAGAGAAACACAGTAAAGCCAAATGATTTGTTATGCCCCACCTACGATAGTAGAGGGGCATTATGTTTTTCGGTCTGTGAGTCCGTTCGATCGTCCGTCCGTTCCTCCGTCTGTCCCGCTTCAGGTTAAAGTATTTGGTCAAGGTAATTTTTTATGAAGTTGAAGTCCAATCAACTTGAAACTTAGTAAACATGTTCCCTATGATATGATCTTTCTAATTTTAATGCAAAATTAGAGTTTTGATCCCAATTTCACAGTCCACTGAACATAGAAAATGATAGTGCGAGTGGGGCATCCGTGTACTATGGAAACATTCTTGTTTATTATGTAAATAAGTCTTTTCGACGACACACAAATGCAGCGCTAATGGTAACAACAGATATTAATTGCTGTCGTGTATGTCGCCACAAAGTCCTCATAATTTTGTGTTTTTTTTTTTAATTTTCCAATGGCGTTTTCAACCTCTACTCCAGTGTGTGTAATAAGTCTGTTTAATTTTCTACACTTTCTCTGCACATTCTGGGATTTATTATGTGTCAATACTGTATATATATTCGGACTTATTTTGTCGCACAGCATAAATATCTCAACCGGGAAAGGTATAGTTCTTGTCCAATATTTCTCATCATCATATATTGCTGAGCATCGTTTAGTTGTCAAGAGAAATCAACGTGACTTAACATCGCATATCCTGCCTTCGTTCGATATAACAACTTGGTGCGAATGCACTGATAAAGTATGTTTCCCGAATAATACTGTTCCTGTGGTTCTTTTATCGGCCAATAAATTTCAGTTGAAGTTTCGTCGATAGCCCCTACTGCAAACGGAAGTTTTTGCCACCCATTTGGAAAGTTGTTCCATTCACTCAAAGAAGGCCAATGAATAAGACAGCTCTATATTTCTTTGAAAATAGCAAAAGCCAATACATGTATGTATTTCATCATTTATAGTCGAACACTAACAGCGCTAAATATGACAGAAAGCATATGTTACATGTAAGACGGATACGATAGTAGTCATAAAATAAAAAGAAGTACTATGTTTTTCAAGTGAAATGACATGATGAATAAATAGGATCTTAAACACCCACCCGCTGTTTCCCCTCATTCTGTTTTCAAAAAAATGAAAAATGTATGTCTTAGCATAAATATTTAGCATTGTCAACGTGCTCCTTAGTTGATCGTTCCTTTCTTAACACTAAGTCTTTCTGAAATTAATTTCTAATTTCCCAACCTAGCCACTGCGATTCCGTAAATTTTCATCATGTTCAACCTTGATAACACCATGTACAATACTTATTGTGTACACAAAACATCATAGGGATCAGCCATTGTTTTGGAACGACGGTTTATGACGTTTATAATTTCACTTTGAGACGACCCAAGATTTATAAATGTTACCTGTAGGTGTAATTGTAAACCTAATCCATAGTTGTATGACACAGTATTGGCAAATGTATATTACTCTGTCATGAAACAGAGGTTCCTTCATGATATAAGTACCAAATGGATAAAAAAAGATTCTAGAATATTATTTTCACTAGAACAAATATCACAGTATTTCTTCCTTTAATACGGAATAAATTGTATAGAATATTAGTTCCAACAGGAACAGATATTACGGTATTGTTTATAATAAAGTTTTCAGTTGTGTAGAACTTCTGTTAGGCGGAAAAAAAATAATACACGTTTGACAACTTGTCTATTTACAACTAACAAATCATCCTGACAGTGTCACAAATGCATGTTCTTCCCATTCCCATTGGCAAGACATTTATTTCTAATTAGGGATTGGACATTCAGCATCCAACATTTAACATTCTGTTCATGGTAATATCAATGTAATGTGTACAGTACACACAATGCATAAAGATATATAGAAAAAGATGAGCGCAATACATTGAATATTGTTAATTTATTATCGCTTACCTTGCCGGTTATGAACGCTTAATAAAAGTGTACACACGTGGTATAATATGTATATTGTGCAAACAGTATAATATAAACGTACTTTTAAAGAAAACCCGTTAAAGGTCAAATAAAGGGACGATAGTGATATCATATGATAAATGAAGAAAAATCTACACGACATTACATCAGTTAAGAAAAGTCGAATGTTGCAAGATCTTCAGTAGTTTCATATGACAATAATGAAATGTGATCACTTGATTTGATCATTTATTAAAAAACTTAAATATTGATTTTATATAAATCGGATGTTTTAATCTTATTTCAACAAGCCTTGACAAAAAACAGAAAAATTTTAACGCCATTTCTGTCTTTTAGCTATTACTGTTTTGTGTTTTAAAATTTTCTTTCAACGTTTTATAAATATCGGATATACTTTTGATTATTTCTTTGTTTTTGTATTTAATTTTGAAATCAAGATGACAAAATGTCATGAGTAGTGATTGCTGCACGTGAGGTAAAGTAGTGACAGTATTTCCTTATCATCCATAGAACATTGGCTATAAGTATCTCCAATAACTCATGGCTCTCTAATATCATTTTCTACAGCGAAAAATTGGGTATTGACCTAAATATATGTAAAAATTTAGGCAAAAATAAATTAAAAAATTTACTGAAAAAACAGCTCAAATTAAATTTTCAAAATGATTGGGAGAAAATGCGGGTCATTTGACTATGAAAATTATTTAGATTTAAAGCACCCCCAAAAACATTTGTTAACAAAATACAGACTCAGCAATCACTGTTTAAGAATAGAAACTGGCAGACATGAACGTTTTATCAATGTATGTGGTAAATATGAAATATTACCTCGACATGAGAGGATATGTTTATATTGTAATTCAAATTCTATTGAAAATGAAATGCACTTTCTTCTGGAATGCCCTCTTTACAATAACCTCAGAAGAGATATGACTGATTATAACAAAAAATACCCCAATTTAGTTAATTTAAACAGAAATGATCTTTTTACATGAATCATGAGTAATGAAAATAGCAGTTTTTTTATCTATTTTATGTGCATACCTTGATAAAGGCCTGCAACTTAGAAAATCAGAAAATTAGTTAAATACTCTAATAAATAGCAAAATTATCTCCCCTTGACCACTGACCCTTTCCTCATACATTTGAACTATTATTTTATGTTTCTTTAATCACTCTGTAATGTTTATGTCATTTTGTTATTAATGTTATGCTCTTAATGGGCCCTATAATTTGGAAAAATAAAAATATTGTATTGTAATTGTAATTGTATAAGGGATCCCATAATTTAGAAAAAAATCCCGAGTAGGAAAAAGTATTTCAGGCCACACCAATTTGATTAATAGTTCTTTGGATTTTCCCGCTCCTGTTTTGGAGAAATTGACTTTTCAATAAAAAAAAATAATTACCGCTTCCGCCAATTTTTGGGCCGCATGCCGCTCCAAAATTAGTTTATCCTTGACATTTTTTTTTCTCTTAGACGTTTTTCTCGTGCATATATTGCTCCGAGCGATTCAAACGCACGTGTGATAAATCGATAAATGTAAATAAAAGGTCAAAAATCGGGATGCCAACATGAAGTTGTGTCAGATCATTGCCGATGACACGTAGTTATTTAACAGACAATTACTTGAAATGCATTTCGTTTTACCTGTTCTAGGAGACAAAAATAAAAAAATATCTTTCGTTAGATGACCACGAACACATCAGTACTTGTTAGAACCATTGTCATCCCCGATCATTGTTTCAACAGACATAGTCCGAGATTACTCCGACGTCCAACAGCTGTTGCCAGACAAGATAGGGGGGGGGGGGGGGGCTGTTGTCCCACGGTCCTAATTTGTCTGGCAAAACAGCCGTTGGACGTCAGAGTAATCTCGGACTACAACAGACATAGATATCTAGAGCTATCTGTCTTGGATGAAATTAATATTAAATGCACGTGAATTTTTGAAAAATGGCAGATTTATCTTATTTTAATGAAAACTCCATATCCCCTTGTTAGTCTATTGACATGCAATCAGAACTCTTTTGTAAGGGAAAATTTAAGAGTTCCAACATTTGAGACCACAGTGGTGGTATTGGGATTTGCATGCTAATAATAATTAGGGATGTGTTACTGGTGCAACCACTTCCAGTTTGAAATACATTGCAGGTTTCAGGGGCAAAAGGAAAAAGTATTTTGCTAAGTCAGAAAAATGCATGTGAATGTGGTTCAATGTATTTTAAGGGAATAGATATAGGAAGATGTGGTATGAGTGCCAATGAGACAACTCTCCATCCAAGTAACAATTTATAAAAGTAAACCATTATAGCTCAAGGTACGGCCTTCAACACGGAGCCTTGGCTCACACCGAACAGCAAGCTATAAAGGGCCCCAAAAATTACAAGTGTAAAACCATTCAAACGGGAAACCCAGCGGTCTAATCTATATAAAAACGAGAAACGAGAAACACGTATGAACTACTGTACATCAGATTCCTGACTTAGGACAGGTGCAAACATTTGCAGCGGGATTAAATGTTTTAATACATTGAGATCTGCATGCATAGCAATATAATTATCTTACTCAGGATGTTGTTGAAATATTCACCTCACTCATTATGTTGATCCTATTATGGATAAATAGTTCCAACTGGATGTCAAGCAGCCAATAAACAATCATTACCATATAATGAAAACAACTATATCAAAAGATATTTAATATTTTTCATGGGCATTTTTTTTGGAATACATACACATATTTTAATTGTATTCAACACATTTCATTTACCTAACTAACATAATTCCTCTTGCTAAACTGCATCTGATATGCTTCCTTAATATATACACATGTATGAATTTAAATGAAAATTCACGCAGTCAAAGCTTATTTGACTAAAATAATCAAAATTGTACTAAACCAAAGCGAACCAAAAAGTTGGGTATGGTACAGACTGTACTACAGGCACAAATACATCAAATTATATGCATAAGAGCATGTTTATCTTCCCTTTTCTTTGAAGTAACCCAGTTTTAACATGTACAAATATTCTAAAAATCGCACAATTTAAAAAAAAATATACCGCTCGCTCCACTTGTAGAGCACCTGCCTCAACAAAACTCATTTTCAAGAAATAAATACAATCAAAAAAATTTCGCTCGCTCGCCCCATATTTTTTGGAGCTTTTGTCCGAAGAACTAAAAATCAAATTGGTGTGGCCTCAGCACAGATTTAGTGTACTGCGAAGTGACAATTCAAAATGCTGTTTAAATAATCTGCACAGTGTATGCCATCGGCGGATTAAGGGGGAGGTGCATAAGATCGAACTTCTTTCTACAGGTATGAATCGCCGTTGTAGATCGGCGCACTCCTACATAGTAGGATGGCTACTGCGCTATATACAAATATACACCCGCACCCACTAAAAACTCATATTACACACAAAGGGTACAATACCCCTCCCTTTTTGATTGGATTCTTTTCCTTCACAAAACGGTCTAAAATAAGTCGCCACGCTACGCTCGGGGAGATTTTGATTGTTTCGTACAATTCCGCGACCTTTCGTCAAAGCCTTGATCGGCCCCTGCATGCGCATATAACATTTGCATCATATCAACTCGAAACTAGGTTCCTATAATAAATCCCGTACACATGTGAATTGTGTATGTACGCGTCTTGATCACTTACATTATGTTCATATACTACTGAGCATGAACAATTAATTCAACTATTTTCATAGATGTATGCCCCTTCTATGATTGTGTGCTATTTTAACACTCAACAGAGTCGATTAAGGCATAGTTTTTGACTATGATAACTTTTGTAACATGCGACACGTTTTTGCAAATAATTAATCAATAAATTATTGTTATACCTTACTCACCCATCCCATAAAAATTTCTGACAAGTTTCTTATGTATAATGATACACTCATTTTGACAAGTTGCTTACTTAATCTATTAAGACATTAATAACATGTTTTTTTCCTGTTGGTTTTTGAGAAATCTAATATGAAAAACGAAAACACTTTCGATTTTCGTTTTTTTTGTTTTATGAAATCAAAAACGAAATTGAAAACACTTTTATTGTTCGTTTTTTGATACCTCAAAACGGAAAACGAATGGACGCAAATATACACGGACCAAGGACAATATATGTTTAACAAACAGTTGTCGCAAACTACAGGTATCTAATTTCATAAAGTGTACGATCACATTCATACATAGACTATCAATTGCTGGTGAACAATTAATCAAATATGCACTGTATTGAATCATCCTGTTGGAAGAATTTAAGAGTTGTACCCGTACATTTGAGAGGGATGGAGTGAGATGAATGATTTAAATAAGAAAAGTACAAATCACGCAAGAAGTAATAATAACTACGGGATTTTTCCCGACCTATGACGGATGTCTCGGACTGAAAGATAATAATCGTTATTATCGTAAAGCATATACAATAAAGTGTTACGAGATGATGTAGCAAAAATTTTGCTTTTGTACTTTTTCAAGACAAAACAGTCAACTTAAACATGCCTGAACATAAAAAGGTGTACCCGACTTTCTCTTTTCGATGATGATTGTTTTCCCAAAATATTGTTGCCGGGCGCAGGAACGTAAATTAATGCTTTAAAAAGAGCAATCTTTTTTTCTTTCTGTGGAATTTTTTTCGGCGGAATTTATGCTTATGCACAAAAAAGATCCACATGTATTTGCACCTACTGTTTTGTGAAATTTTTTTCTTTACTTTTAAAGTTTACAAATATCTCGAAACTCTATACTATAATTACACTACACACACGTATATAAGATGCAAAAAAATCCTAAATTATGCACCTACTTCAAACTTTTAAAGCCCATAGAAACAGATGTAAACAATTCAAATATATCAGCTTGACCATTTTCCTTCCTTTTGTTTAATTTCAACTGGTTCTGTGAATATCAGCCTGTTACGATCACATTCCTACATTTGAGACTGTTGATTGCTGGTGAACAATAAATTCAATGAACTGCATTGAACTGTCTTGTTGGGAGAATTTAAGAGTTA